ATGGCAAACACCGGGGGGGGCGGCTTGTTTTACAACGTCGTTGCCAAGCGACGAAAACCCAACCCCGATGGCAAACACCGGGGGGGGCGGCGGGGGGGGGGAGGTCATTGTTCCCTCGCCAACGAACACGTGGGTAGGTTTGGAGGGTGGTGTCCATGGCGATGAAAACCATGTCCCAAAGCTACGTCGCTGGCTGCTGCCATTGATTCTATCTAGGGTGTGGTGTCCTGAGACAGATCTATTCAGGACCCGACCTCACCAGTGGCATCCGCGAGAACTACACATCGGAAAGCGACAGCTTCCCTCATCTGGGCTCTCTCACAACACCTCGGGGAAGAACAACTTGAAACGCAAGTAGTCTCACGCCTGAAGAAGGCGTTTTTGCCTGTGGACTGAAATGCGTGTTGTTTCCACATGTACAATACCTCCCCAAATGACGGGGAAAAAAAAAAAACTTCATGAAAAATTTCAAGTTCCAAGCAGGTTGTTGGCATAAAGTTTCAAGTTTCAAGCAGGTTGGCACGATCACGCTACCACCGACTAGGCACGGCGAGTCCGAGACGGCTGATGGGTCTCACCCTAGCGTAGTGCCGCGTGACCAGCAGCAGCAGCGGCAGGAACACCAAGATGAGCGCGTAAAGCGCAATGAGCGGGGCCAAGATCGTCCTCGGAGAGAAGTTCTCGTTGTTGTCTAGCTCGAGCGTCAAGAACACCAAAAACAGCAGGGCGCAGAAAGCCAGGCTGCGCGCGCGCGAAAAAACACGTCGTGTGCACGCGGGGTACGGGGACGATGGAACGTACGGTCACATCGATGGCCATGGCAACCAAGTGGGCGAACGAAAGAAGAGGCGTGCGTGGTAGGGGGGGCGGGGGGAGGGCAACAAGAGGTGACCATATCTCGCTCTCAACGGCGACGGCTCAAGTAAAACAATGCTTACGCACACACGCATCGAGAGTACAGTCTGCCGCTGCAGAAAAAAACGACGGCTTGGTTGTGACGGCCGGAAAAGCGCCAAAAGGTCGTACGCCAAGAGGTCTCACTGGAAAGCTGGTGCCAACCGCGGAAAGTCATTTTCGATAACTTCTCTACTCTCTTAGATATTTTGCATCGTTTGAACTGGAGCTGGCGGTCAGCGGACCAGAGGAAGTGGAGCTCGATTGTGGCTTGCCTTGCGGTAGTCACTTGGCCATCGGTCATGACGACGAATCCCTTTCGAGACTGGGCTCTCTCCCACTTCGTCCAGAGACAACTCGGACGTGTTGCTAAATCCTACGTACATATATTTTCATTATCTTACACCCCATTCTCAAGCCATCCTCTCCTCGACACTGCCGTTGTCGGAATCACAGAACAGGACACCGCTACCACCGACGTACTGGCACAGAAAAAACGGTACCCACAGTACCTGAACGTCCCCACGCTGCACAGCAACATCCCCCGTATCAGTAGTGGCCTGATCTCGGGAATAACCCCCCGGGACACCGTAGAAGCACAGCAGCACAGCGCGGAGCCCCCCAGCGCGATGGCCCCCATGAACATCCACAGCGGAATGAACACGGATGACCACGGGCCTTCCAACTGCCCGTCCACCTTCAGCACGATCAACACCGGTTGTGCTCCTTGGGGGGGGGAACGGGGGGAGGGGGGGTTGAGCACGCCCAGGGTTTCGGCGGAGACACTCGTGGTTCGAGGGACGCAACGCGGTTCATACCCTACGGAGGAGCAAACGTCGTTATGTTCACTTGCTGATGCGCTTGGCTGCGGTAGCGGGGGAAAGATTCGAAGATGTCGGTTCGCTATCAGCGGCTGAGCCCACGAACGACGGTGGCACATACGAAAAAGAAAAACTGGCCCGCGATCAAGCAATGGGGCTGGGCGTTCCCTGAACTATTACCAAATACTAACCGCACAAGAGACACCGAGGAAGTACATATTTGCTTTGGATATCGGCCGCGGTGCCTGCCGCACGGCAAGCCTGCTTTTCCACCTCCGTCTCTGGCCTCACCTCGAGCAACAAGGTGAAAGAGGCCGGTGAAAGCCGCCCCCGCACGGTGAAGGGAAGCGTGCTCGGCCATCACCTGCACAACAAACGGCAATGACAAGACGGGGGCACTAATTCAAGGCTTGACGACGCCTCCAGCTGGCGTGGCGTGACGAAAAAAGAGAATAACGCTAAGCGTCGGGACGCCGGCGGGCGTGACGAAAAAAGAGAATAACGCTAAGCGTCGGGACGCCGGCGGGCGTGACGAAAAAAGAGAATAACGCTAAGCGTCGGGACGCCGGCGGGCGTGACGAAAAAAGAGAATAACGCTAAGCGTCGGGACGCCGGCGGGCGTGACGAAAAAAGAGAATAACGCTAAGCGTCGGGACGCCGGCGGGCGTGACGAAAAAAGAGAATAACGCTAAGCGTCGGGACGCCGGCGGGCGTGACGAAAAAAGAGAATAACGCTAAGCGTCGGGACGCCGGCGGGCGTGACGAAAAAAGAGAATAACGCTAAGCGTCGGGACGCCGGCGGGCGTGACGAAAAAAGAGAATAACGCTAAGCGTCGGGACGCCGGCGGGCGTGACGAAAAAAGAGAATAACGCTAAGCGTCGGGACGCCGGCGGGCGTGACGAAAAAAGAGAATAACGCTAAGCGTCGGGACGCCGGCGGGCGTGACGAAAAAAGAGAATAACGCTAAGCGTCGGGACGCCGGCGGGCGTGACGAAAAAAGAGAATAACGCTAAGCGTCGGGACGCCGGCGGGCGTGACGAAAAAAGAGAATAACGCTAAGCGTCGGGACGCCGGCGGGCGTGACGAAAAAAGAGAATAACGCTAAGCGTCGGGGCGCCCCGTCTCGCAAGACGCACACAAGGACACTGCTCTATATGGTTGCATGACACACCCCGAGCGAGCGGTGAAACAGCAGTGTGTACACTATAATATTCACCTACGCCACCACCAACGTTGGGTAGGTGCATCTACAAGAGTGATTGCTTCAACGAGCTTTGTGGATAGCCACCCCCTCGACGGCCGAATGCCAAAATAGGGCGCTAGTTGAAACAACAACCGCCTGTAGTAGCGACGACATCACAGGCTGTTGTCAAGTGTTTGTTGCTGCGCAGCGTTTGGGATTCGACTCAAGTCTCGTGAAAGCGACAACATCGTTTCGGACCACGCTGCCTTTGGTGGTCCAATCAACGAATTCTCCCTCAAGCGAACGCGTACTACACCAAGGAGCGCTCACGAGCTTTTCCGTATTCCCATTAGAAAACGGAAGCCCAAGTCCTGGCAACAAGAAACAAGTTGCTTCCCACCAAGTCCCCCAGAATGTTACCCCTACACACGTGTCAAGATGGCGTACAACGTAGCTCAGAGGCTCGTCTTACCTGGGGGTGGGTCGGGGTGATGCATCGCAGCGTCCCTGCTAGCAAAACGCACGCCCACATGGGCGTGAAGAGCAGCAGCAGCGACCAGTCCACCTTGCCCTGCGCGACGCGAAACCATAACAGCAACAGCAACAAAACAACATCAACCACGTGGGGGTTTGCCAAGACGGAAACGGTGTGGACAGGCAAGCTACAGGCGAGCGGCGACATCGTGACCCGACACCACCCATCTCCTGCGGTATGCGGTATGTGTACGATCGCGCGCTCGGAAAAATCAGCACTGACGTCGTCACCTTGGAATAACCAGGAGCGAAACGTGTGGGTACCCAGATCCAACGAACATTTTTCCGTTTGTGTGCTTTCTGGCCGGGTGCAGAGAACCAGAATTGCCGCACAGGAGGTCCAACGCATTGTTCCGGAGGAAAGATGCCGGGTACAAACATACTCTGAGCCATTCTCTCCCCCAATCCCCCAGCGATCGCTGCCGCTGGTCACCATACGATCATTACCACGCTCTGTTCGACTGGGGAATTTTTTCTCCGACATCGGACTCTTCCTGTATCAACCCCAAAAGGGTTGCCGATAGTCTGAGGAATGGCGGGCTATCGCAGCTTTGTCCGGCGTGCGTTGCAGAGTGGCGTGAAGATATAAGCACGCCCGTGTGATGCACGTTGAACCCTCTTGTCGGCAGGCAACCGAGACCTTCAAGCAATGCCCCCCCATGCCCTACTACATACCGCCCTGCTAGACTTCGAGTCGACAGGCAACCGAGACCCCCCCCCATGCCTTACTACTTGACACTCTGCGCATCCCCACCTCCAGGCGATAAGCAAGGGTGACCTTCGCGGCAGCAACACCAAGGTGGTCAATTATCCCTCCCAGCGGCGGAAAGAGAGCGTAAGTTTCGCTCGGTACGTGCACCGTCGTCCTCAAGATTTTGCGGAGCTCCTTGGACTGTTTTCCGGCGGCGGCGGCGGCGGCGGCGGCGAACCAATCATCAGACGGGGCAACAATAGAGGAGAACCGGAAGAGGGCACGGGGGCAACAACAGAACGGAGGTGAACGCGAAATGCTAATGATAGATGTACTTGCGTGCAAACAGGCCCTCTGGCATTCACATACCGCAGAAGGAGGTGCGTAAAAGTGTGTTCCTGCCTACGCCAACCTGTCCACCACAATCACCCAAATAGCCAAGCGTTGAACATAAAAGATTTCCGTGGATAGCGTCATGTCTACGGCTTCGATACTGACCGCAAAACATGAGTTTGTCGTTTCCATACTGCTGTGGTGCTGCTATCGCTCCCACAGCACACCCAAGCCCCCATGTGAGGAGCGCCGCTAAGCTCCGTAACACATGTTCACGAAGCTCGGCTAAGTGGGATGCTCGTGACTCATGCCCTTTGAGAGGCCGTTGCTGCACGACGAGAATTTCGCGCAGAAACTGTCCACGTAGGCAATGTGTGTGAAATGTCTCGTTCGACGGCGTGGGTGCCCCCCATGCCCACGAAGGCTGCTGGCATATGGAGGGTCGTTGATGTCGGCTTTCTACATCAAGAGGCCATTCTTTAAGGGCACCTCGTCATTGGGAACAACCTAGACATTCCAAAAGACCGCGTAGTAACAGGGTGTGAAAAAAAGTATCGAATAAAAAACCGGCTCGATCTTGGCCGGTAAAAAACATAAATGATTGTGTTTTTTCTTGCAGGAAAAGAGTGGCATGCATACAAGTATTCCTAGGTTACGTGTCAACCTTGGTCGCGGGGGGGGGGGCGGATAGGCCTTACTTTTATTTATGTATTTATTTATTTTTTCTCCCATCATTGGACTCTGTCGTATGCCCCTCTGGCCCCTATCCTCCACTTCTACCAGCTAGACGACCCAACCGGGGTCACATAGGACGGGGGAGTTGGACCCCCTCCTGCGGTTCTATGTAACCGGGGGAGACATTTTGAAAACCCCCCCGGGGTTTCGACAGTTTTCGTGCGCTTTTTCAGCGCGCGCGCGCGGGACCCCACACAGATCTGGTGGAAATTATGGAAACACCTGAAGAATACGCGTCAATCTTGGTCGCGAGTCTTGTTTATGGTGTAGGAAATAGTATAACGACACGAAAGCCTACAAATCAAGAAGATTTTGTGGGCTTTAGAATGCGGCACGAAAGTCTATTCAACGAAGAGTACATCGATTTTACTACAGACACACTTTATTCCATACAATAGACTGCTGCAAGTGAGCCGCCTACAGTGCTATCCGGCGTGTCAATCTTGGCCCGCCTGGGGTGGGGGTGGGGGGCGGGGTGTTTTACGGTTTCTACATGGAAAGACCCTTGGCAAAGAAGAGACAAGCGTACTGCAATATACGCAACAGCTATCTGCACCAATAGGCCATGAGGGCAGCCTGCGACAGGGTGGTGGCCACAGACCGGGCCATAGAAGGGTTGATAGGTGGTCGCGGTGCGGCCTGTAGGACAGGATAGCCTTGTGGACCTTGAAAGAGCAGTCAACCCGCCTAAACCACTCTATTTTCAGTATATTCAAACGACCTTCTGAGACGGCTTGTAGAACTGTAAGCGGGTATTATTTCTTCTGCACTTCTTTGTCCCCCCCCAATGTGAGACCTTCCTGCTCAGTAGAGCTCCTGTGTTTTCCCCACAATCACACAAGCACACCAACACACCCCCCCTCTTTCCAACAGTGGCTTCCTAGATTCGGGAGGGCATGTATGTGCAGCTGTAATGTGTGTCTCCGTGAAAGGATACGGAGCATGTACAGAGACTCATGGCGGCATTCGCATTTAGCGCACGGTGTATTTTTCGAATATTGGTATTCTTCCCAGAGAGACCTTGATTTGGGGCGCTGGCACTCACGTCTTTTCATGGTCACCGGTTAGCGGGGTCGATGCGAATACGGTGAGAAAACACAACTACTGTGTAAATAATACTACCTTTGGACTTGTCAACACCTGGCGTGGAGGGATACAACGTGGTAACCAGCATTTGCAAATGATCTATCAATGATCCACCAGCATGCCTGAAGGCCCAAGAGGGCTAAGCAGCTGACGACGACGAAAAGCAAGTATTTCACCTCTGTGGCAACGACGGTGGGTCTTGACCGACGTACGCCACGACTTGCAGCACACGAAAGGCTTCACCAGCGGCGAAACGACATTACATGACAAATGACAGCGGTCCAATTCTCGTTCGAAGTACTTGTTTCTGGTTTTCCGAAGATGAGAAGCGCTGTCTAGTAGTACCTTGTAAAGGCCCCATCTGGCCCACATACTCCTCGAGCATAGGAGTATTGGATGGAAGCGGTGTGCGTGAGAGGCGGGAAGTAGTCGGCTGCGGCACCCGTGTTTATCTTTGTGTTGAACCAAACAGTTAGACACTGAAAATCAAATTATTATTCTCCCGCGTCCTACAGCACGAAAATTGCTGTAGGACGACGCCAATTTCTAGCTGACTTGCTGCTGAATTCCGTACGACCTCACCTTGATGACGATAAACACAGCGTCCGTTATCCATAGCGGCGACAGCACCGCGGCCCAAGGCCAATTAATACCCCCCTCGAGTTTCTCCAGCAGAAAGACCAGAAACACCAGTACGCAGAGGTGCGCCGGGATCATGGCAATGGGCGACCATCGAAAATTGCCGGTGCCCGACCGGGACTCCTGCTGCCGAGCCATCTCTCGTCGCCTCCGAAGCTCCAGCTGCTCCCTGCGCTCATCGGATATGTCGCCCAGCTCTAGCGGAAGAATTGTTGTCGCTGTTCGCGTTGTTGTCATCCTGGGCACCCGGCGAACTGCAGCTAAAGGTTTTGTGCTGTCTCTTTGCCCCGCTCTGTTCTGTGTTTCCTAGCCGCTGTATCGGATGTACGCGGTACTATCCCACCCACATTCCTCCCCACCCACCACCACACAGCTCGGAGCTCAAAGGTTCTGGCACTGCATCACACAGGGGCGGTGGCGGTGGCGGCGTCACACAGCCCAAGACTTGAGTACGGAGATTTACTTGTCCTGACGGGAACACTCGCTGCAGCGTCAACTGGGAAATCTATAACCTGTGCAGACACACGTGTCACGTGAGGGTCGGTTTCTGTCAGTAAGGCCGGCCAGTTCTCTTTCGAGTGCAGAAAAGATGACGTGCCGATGCCGCGCGCTTTGATGGGACGGTGCTTGTCGCCAGAGTAGGAGCAATCGATAGGTATCGGCAGAAGGGAGAGATGGAAGGGCACCAGCGGAGAACGAGAGAAGAATTTTCAATATTTTGTTGTGCGCCACCGATCAAGGCCTCCCAGGTGCCATAGCGCAAAATAGAGTAACCCGTCAGGTTTCGACCAATCACAGCCCGCCCAGTGTTGGCCAGACCAAACACTGCTGTAGACCTGAGAAACAGACCCAGCAGTTTGAACTGTTCCCCGCGAACCGCGCAATCTACCCTCTCGCCTTCTTCCCCGCGAACCCGAGGCGTTTCGAAACTACCCGAAGATACTCAGCGAGAGGCCTACAGGGTGAACAAAGGAGTTGGCTACGCATCAGATCCCTGGTGGTTCGCTCGTCAGGTGTGAATCAAAGATCTTATCACGCCGCATCTTTTTGCCACCTCGCTCCTCCCTCCTACGCGTGTCTCCGTTGCCACTCGCGTTCGCCTCTGGTTCCACAAGCGCCACCTCCTTCAACTTCCGACTCTTACGACAAGGACAGGTGCAGGCATTAGAGTGGCGTGGATTGCACGATGTTCGTCTCAGCGCGAAAACTGTTTGTTTCTTTTTGTCTTGACAGGGCCAGCTGGACCCTTGGTACACAAGTCAGGACACCCGCCAACAGTATCCTGCCTCCGTTTCACCGAGCAGGAGAGCGAGATCGAACGAGATAATTAATAGGATACGGAGCGAGGCAATGGCGAGCTCGGGCGATTTCCCCAAGCGCCCCAAAACATCAAGCTTCCAGTTTGCATCAACTTTCCAGGTAGAAAATACAAGCCCGGACGAAACCCCCTCAACTCAGCAACTTGATGAAACGTCGGGTAACCACGATCGAGCGTATTCAAGCCGTTGCTCTGTGTGGCACTCCTCGCTGTACGGATCGATTCGTCTATGTTCAACCACAAAAGCTGGCTGAATAGTGTACGCCATACACTATCACGTGGCATTAAGACCAGAAATAAAACTCTTGCCGGTGGTGTGTACATTCGTTTTGCTTGCATATCGCATACCTGATATTGAACGTCTGGAAGCCCACAAGAACGTCCGGCGAGATAATTTCCTACATGTATATAAAATAAGTTCTTGTTTTCTTTCTCCTATTATTGGACTCTTTCATCTGCCCCTCTGGCCCCCATCATCCACTTCGACTAGCGAGACAACCCAACCGGGGTCACTGTAGGGTCCCAGATTCTTCGGTCCGGTCACCCCGCATCAGTCCCAGCTGATCACCAACTGCCCTGTGGCCCTCGAGCTGTGCGCTAATCGAAACATCATTTCTAGCATACCAGCTGTTTCCATCTGTTTTTGTGCTAGACTTGCCGTTCCTCCTTTCCAAAGTGTGCATTGTCTGTTCATCGGAAGATATCATTCAAAGCGATTGATACTTTGTGACCGTACATAGCCGGGTGGGAATCATGAATCTTAGTGAGAAAATACTTCCTTTCTGGGATCTGGAGTTCCTCTTAAGCCACACAGAAAGCGCCCGCACTCAACAACCTTTATTTTTCGCCCTGGCTGCGGGTCTTAATTCCCTGAAGGTTTTGCTATAATGACCGCTGTATAGGTTTGAGTGTATTCTAATCAAGTTCGCAAATCGGGCCCAAGTTCTAGATTTTGAGTATTCTTATGGCTCTATGGGTCTCTTAACTGAGATTCTGTTAAGTGCAGGTGCTTTCTATATAAGACGTGGTGTAATTCAGCCGTTTCCAAAGTGATACCCAGAAGAAGGTATAGGGGACTTTACATATGGTACATCCTTCTTTCCGCCCGAGCGTAGACGACACAATGTCGCACGGTGCCACAGAGCAATACACTCCTGACGTTCGGGAGTGCCTAGCCATTGTTTTTTGGATGCCCGCATCTTGCTTCTTGCCGGAGCAGAACGGGGGCTGTCTTTCGCCAGCGTCTGCAGTCTACAAAGTCTACTTTCTGTTGATCATCGTTTTGAATTTCCACGGGCTATGATGAGTACCCGACAACGATCCACGGCTTTGTCGAGCACACCCTCTCCTCTGTTTTTGAATTCGAAGGTTTACGGCTGTGGTATCTTGTTGGGTGCGGTACAATAGTAAGGAACATATCAGGAGACTCTTAAAGAGAAATTTCGGATCTGCAAGAGAGCACAAAAGGCGCTTTTACAGGACACGAGCAATGCGCGCATTCCATATTATGGTTTACGACAAAACCGGACGTAAAGATGGTGTTTTTGGCTCGTCCCGGCCTTCCCTTTTGCCGTAGCCACTACTAATCACTCGTTCCGTTCCGTTCCGTTCCGTTCCGTACCATTTGCAGGGAGAAGACGCCCTCAGGACGGGCGAGTGGGTCCTGAGTCAAGACCCCAAGTATGAAGGGCAGGAGGCCAGGGTAAGGGTGGAGCGGTGCGACCTAGAGGGGGGCGTTTTCCACGGCGACTATGGCCTTCTCCTCGACGAGTCCCACAAGCACTACGGGGTGGGGGCGACCCTACCGAAGCCTGTCGACAACACGGGCAAGGTGACACGTGCTATCCCGGCCGCTTGGTCGCATGACTGATGTCGGGGTTTGGATGAGTAGTTTGGAGAGGCGTAAGGGTTATTACGACGGATGGTAGGCGTTTAGTAACCCAAGATGTAAGGGGTTCTAGGCGTCATGGCCTGTTCATAGTAGTGTAGTACCGACAGTCGTGTTAATGGCAATGTACGTTTTTGGTGGTTGACTTGTTGTTTCCGTGTGTTGTCGTCTGCCGTGCCCAGGACCTCGTGCTGCAGTACGAAGTGCAGGTCCGGGGTGGAGCAAACTGTGGCGGAGCCTACGTCAAGGTGAGGATCAGCAGGCAGAGCGGTTGGCTTTGACGAGTCCTCGTTGCCGTTGGGGTTGTTGTTGTTGTGTGGTTTGGGGTTGTTGTTGCTGCTACGGTTTCTCGGCCGTTCCATGTGTGTGATGGTGCCGCAAGGCTGTGCGCACTGTGCGTGTCTGCTCGGACCGTGCACTGTCGGCTAGTTTCCCTCGCCCGCTGGGTGGGCGGGGTGTAGTGCAGAAACGCCGTCTGCCGTTCGGTCTGAGCCTCTCATCCATTCTGCTGTCAACCTTTTCCACTCGAAACACTCGAGGTAACCAAAAGAACATCTGGAAAGTTTTTTATCTCTTTTACTCTTTTTTGATACGATGCTGAAGCGGGTATTGTAGGAGAGTGGACGTCAAAAGCCTTAAGTATGCTCAACCGCACGGAATGCTCTGGGGGAGCCGCGGAAAGGACACGCTGGCCGTGGCCACCGGACATTAATCTAGGCGAACTCAAACCCACCACACAAACCCGCCCTGCCTCGCCGCCACTGCAGATGCTCCGAGGGGCCGCGGGAGAAGACATGACGACACTGAACAATGACAGCCCTTACTCTATCATGTTCGGGCCTGATAAGTGCTTCCGCGACACCAACAAGGTACGTACGTCGCATGTGAAGCGATGCAGCGGGCTGGTGTACACCTGAGAGACAGTGGGAATTCGATAGTGTCTGTTGGCGCCATGGGGGTAGAGTAGGATGGTAGATAGAGTGACCACCAACCATGACCGGTGTCACAATCGTCAGTCAGCCACTCGTTTTCCAAGTTACCTTCCATTGTAGCCGATGCCCAAGCCTGACAACCGACCAGAGGGGGTCCCGGAAGTCACTAACGCGTGTCACCCTACCATACTTGTTGTGGCGATGTTGTTCCCATCCCAGTGTACGGCCAAGACCCCCGATACAATCCCCTTTTCTTCCGGGTCGTTTATTTGCGTACACGGTACGGTACTTTACGGTGCGGTGTGGGACGGTATGGGGTGGTATGGTACATGACATCCCTGGCGCGGGGCGACCATCTTCAGACTTGGTTTCTGGCGGCTCTTTGAAGCATACCCTCCCCAACGGCCATCGAAAATCTGGTGGCCGTCCGTAGTCAGCCAATCAACGCGGTCCTGCCCAGTGCACCTGAGAATCAGGATGCGGCAGGGGCGTCCTACGACGGAAACCATTACGGATATGCACGGCACGTGAGTGCCTATTGTCTGTTGTACCCGCTCCCCGTGCCACCCGTGCATGACCCTACAGGTCCACTTCATCCTCCAGCACCAGAACCCCAACACCAATGAGTGGGAGGAGAAGCACTTCGGCAACGCGCCCAAGGTACATACTTAAGTACTTGTTTTTTCGAGTCAAAGGGGTTTGATCAATCCGTGCCACGTATTATAGTCATCCTGTGCTTTGTGTGCTCTTTTCGCGTTAGGTCTTTGTGTCAATTGTTGGCGCTGTCCTTTCAGCGCATTTACGGCAGTCAACGGCTCATTCGATCGACCGCTGCTTTGCTTCATCTCTGCTATCAGTGCTCTCCTCCAATCGTTACTGCGTCATGTGCACCGTAGGTTGCGCTTTTTCTCTCCTGTAAATTTCCCATCGTCGTCTCTGCCCGATGCTTGACCAGTATCTCGGCTGAACTGATCCTGGAAAATCGACTGACAGCACCTGGAAAGTCGCCTAACATGCTTTCATGAAATCGTTGACAGAGTCTCACCCCCCGCCACCCACCCCACTAACACCATCTGCGTTGCCCCCCTTCTCCATCCCGTCCGCTGGCTGTCCCGAACTCTAGATCAAAGATGACGGGGGCTTCCACGTGTACACCCTGCACATCAAGAAGGACGACAGCAGCTTCGACCTGTACATCGACACCGAGATGATCTCCTCGGGCAGCCTGCTGGCAGACATGAAACCGCCGCTGGTTCCGCCGCAAGAGATCGACGACCCGGAAGATGAGCAGCCGGAGGATTGGGTTACGGAGGTGAAGGGTTTGTTCACTTGCAAATTGTCGATTGAGGAATATGGTTCTGCGAATCTTGGGTTCGTTGTTCCCCGCAGCTTTGTATGGGCAATATTTCCTTGCGGTATTTTCGTTTCTGTTTTTGACTAAAGCTTTTGGCTTTTCTGCCGCGCACGTGTACGGGACACGCCTTGCTCTGTGCTGGTATCATGTTTTATCCCGCTTCTTTTGCTGATCTTGGCTTCGGTTTCTATTGAATAGCCTCTGTCGTTTCTCTTTGTCCGTCCTGGATTCGTCTGGGCGCCAGTGTACACGTTTGCGTACATGGTCGACGTGCCGACCCGGATTTACACAGAAGAATGAAGTCTGCTTGTTTTCCTAAGATTCTCATGTTTTTTTGAACGCCGTCGATGACTCTTTCAGTAACCTTTTCGATGACGTTTGCGATGAGCAGGCCAAGATCCCAGACCCCTTCGCCGTGAAGCCTGACGACTGGGACGAGGACGCTCCGAAAAAAATCGTCGATGAGGTAACCGCCTTTACGTTCATGCTTGAGACAGAAACCCAAGGCTCTCCAGTATACCTTCCATGAGGTGTCTCTGTACGCTAAAAGGCCCGGTTTTGTGACCCCTACAGCAGTATTAATAGTAGTGTCGTGACGAGAAGTGGCCGCTATTCAGGGCAGGTCGCTACACCGAACTATCAACTACTTCGTATTATTTTGCAGTTATACCGGGTTGCGGCGGTGCCACGTGATCTAGTGGCCGCTAACCAGGGCATGCCGCTGAACAGGGGGTCGCTAAACCGAAACTCTCACTATATTGTGAAGGAATGGACGGTTGCGAGTCTGGTACAGATACGCATTGATTGATTGTGAAGGTTTTCGCCGCAGGAGGCATGTGAATGCGACGGGGAGATAAATGTGGTGCCTTATGAGTGGACGTGTATCATATATGATTTGTAATTCTTTCGGGGTAGATACCCTCCACGATTTCTGCTTCGCCTTGAACAAAGGTGACATGAACGCCCGCGGTTTCGTTTTGGCATGGTCCGGCTTTGTCCGAGTCGCAGGATGCGGAGATGCCTGAAGGCTGGCTCGAGGAGCAGGAGGAAATCATCCCTGATCCTTCGTCGACCAGACCGGACGATTGGGACGATGAGGAAGACGGGGATTGGGAGCCGACAATGGTGAGGGTTTTCTTGTCAGGCTTGCTTGCCTGCAACTACATTGCTAAAAAATGAACATCCATTCGCAATTGTACCCCTGCCTTTTCTTTTTTTTCGAAGCCACCACCTCGTGAATGAGTGATAGTGGCAGAGGGGGGGCGGCCCGAACCTGTTGCGGTTGGCACTCCTGGGTTTGGCTGTTCTTTTGGTGTTGTGGCCGGTGGTGGGCTAGTATTGTGTCGGGTGCTTTGGCTGGAATCCCCCTCCTTCAAGGTCACATTTCTGAATGATGCATCGTCTCAAGCTCCAGGGTTTTTGCAGTGTTGGATTCACGTGGAGCGCGTTGATCCCCTGTTGCTGTTCATTCGGCTGATTCCGCCTTCGCTGCGACTTTTGTGTTTTCCCTTGTGACTCCTTCCCGCTTTTAACGTGCGGCCATCTCGACCGTGTTCGCCGTGGCCCTCATTCCCTTCGTTAACGTGTGCATGCAGATCGTCAACAAAGCCTGCGACGAGGCCCCGGGGTGCGGCAAGTGGGAAAAGCCTCTGATTGCAAACCCCGCGTACAAGGGGAAGTGGTCCGCACCGAAGATCGACAACCCGGACTACAAGGGGGAGTGGCAGCCGCGAAAGATCCCGGTAAGAATCATGGGAAACCCGTACCGTTTCCACTCTCTGGTCCACTGCTCTCCGGATATCGTTCCGGTTTGGCTAGGGTGGTTTTGGCTTGCATGGGACATCTGGACAGGGTGTTTCATTAGTTATTTTTTCACTGCCAGATGCCTTCGCGGCATTCCGGGTCAAGGTTTGTGTCGTTTTTTTTTTTTTCGTGAAAGCAGCAGCAGCGATTCGTATCTGATCTTCTACTGTATGATTGTTCCACTCGTGTTACTTACATGTTGTAGTTGTGGTTGTCGCTGGTGTCGAATCTGACCTTCTACCGTAAGATAGTTCCGCTCGTGTTACTTACATGTTGTAGTTGTGGTTGTCGCTGGTGTCGAATCTGACCTTCTACCGTAAGATAGTTCCGCTCGTGTTACTTACATGTTGTAGTTGTGGTTGTCGCTGGTGTTGGGGAGCTCTCGCTGTGAGTGTGATCATCGTCGTCACCATCGTCGTCGCCTTTGGCGTCTTTCCTAGTTCGTTTTTCGCCTGCATCTGTCTCGTACAGATGAGAATTGCTATCGTCGGATGTCGCCGACGATAGACGCCACCACAACGCTAGTGCCGATCGACATACCTCCACTGCTCGATGTTTCGTGATCTCCTTCCGCAGAACCCGGCTTACTTCGACATCGAGAGCACGGAACCCTCCCACGTGGACCCTATCACGGGGATCGCTGTGGAGATCTGGACGGTCGACGGGGTACGAAGCACTGGATTGTTGTCATTTTGTTTTTCGTCGTTTCTATTCATCAAAACGAACGCATCTCTTGCGATGATAACGAGCCCAGGATTATATTGTCCCTCTTTGATATACCAGGTAGCTTCTAAACAACGGTATTTGCACGCACCGTCATCCGAGTTGTGTTCCTTGTGTCACTTTTTTTTGTTGTTTCACGAACGGAGATGGTCCACCGGAGAGGACACAACAAACTGGCGAAGCCAGCTTGGTGACTGGATACATGTATCTCTTTCGGACCCTCTCTTCATGGTGAATGGAAATGTGTATCCTCTCAAATCCTCTCTTCCTGGCAAATGAAAAAATGTACCCTTTAAAGCCCTCTCTTCATGGTGAATGAAATATGTATCTTTTGTAAACCCTCTCTCCTATGGTCAATGAAAATATGTATCCTTTCGAACCCACTCTTCATGGTGAAGAAAAATGTGTATCTTTCAAACGGTGACCGAATGCATGTATATCTTTCGAACCCTCTCGTCATGGTGAATGGAAATATGTGTATTCTTGTAAACCCTCTCTTCATGGTGAAGAAAAATGTGTATCTTTCTCGAACCCTCTCTTCATGTTGGATGAAAAGATGTTATCCTTTGCGAACCCTCTCTTGATGGTTCATGAAAAATTGCATCCCCTTGAAACCCCCTCTTCATGGTGAATCAAGATGTGTGTCTTTCTCGAACCCTCAGTTCATGGATGAAGACATGTATTCTTTGCAAACCCTCCCTTCATGGTCGATGAAAAGTTGCATCTCTTTTGAAACCCTCTTTTCATTGTGAGTGAAAGTGTGCACCATATCTCTTTCGGACCGAACCCTCTCTTCATGGTGAATGAAAATATGTATCTCTTTCAAACCCTCTTCATGGTGAATGAAAAAATGTGTACTGTTAAACCCTCTCTTCATTGTGACTCAATGCATTCATCTCTTGCGATCCCTCTCTTTTTGGTAATGAATGGATATCCCTGAATCAAATATCTCTAAGAGTGGTGCATGAATAGATGACCCCGTTTCAGAGCTCTTTTTTGGATGAATGAATGGAAAGCCCTTGGTTCGCGCGTCGCCTTATGGTCAATGAATGCATGTCTTTGTGAGTGAATGGGTACCCCGGCTTCAACTTCCGATGTGGCGAATGAACAGATTCCCCCGTCTGGCGTATTTTTTGACATGGTGAATGAAGTGATGTCCCCTTTGTAATCAACCTTTCGGCGAATGAACGGACGCCGCCGTTTTGAGACATGTCTTGTTGGTGAATGAATGAATGCCTTCGTTCCAAAGGTCTGTTCATGGTGAATGTATGGATGTCGCCGTTTGAAGTATCTCTTAGTGGTGAACGAATAATTGTTTCCGCTTCAAACGTGTCTCTATTATGTGAGTGAATCGATGTCCCCGTTTCAAACGTCTCAACGTTTTGAATGAGTGTAAACTCCAGATTCAACCGCCTCTGTATGTAAATCATGAATGGACGTCCCCGTTGCAAACGTCTCTGTTGTTTCGTTACGCCAGGGCGTGTGGTTGGATAACTTCGTTATCGGCCACGACATCGGAGACGCCCTCAGTCTCGCCGAGCAAACCTGGCGTCCCAAGTTTAAGGCATTCGAGGCCGTCAAGGCTGCCGAGAAGAAGCAGAAGGAAAGAGAGCGTGCCGCCAAGAGGAGCGAGAGGTGTGTATACGTCTGTCTTTTTGCAATAGCATCGACCGCGCTACATAGCCGGATGTGATCGAAAGAAGTCAGGCATACTGCGGAATTTCAAAGCAACAAGGCTTTCTGTATGTCTTCATAAATTTTGTAGTCGGCATCGACCGCGCTTGTGTGTCGGCTGACAAGAGAACGGCGGCAGTGCCAGCGGGTAAAACAGAGGTCCGTGGAAGGGGGTCGAAAATTCGAAAAATGCGACAGCGCGTTGCATGCGCATGCCCAAACAAGTCGTTTTCGTGTTTGGTGCGAACGTGTTCTACAACTTTTTTCTTGCCATCTGTTCCACACCTCTCGTCAAATGCTTGGCGTATCAGCCAGGGCCAGTCACGCAGGAGAGAAGACAAACGTTCTTCAATTCTTTTTTTTGTACACAGGTCTTCCCCGAAGAAATTGGACTTGCTTTCTGTTGCCGTAAGTCTTCGGAAACATCCAACCACAGAACGACTGCCCGTGATTCTGGTCTCGTCCCGCTGGTCCTGCCTCGTGACCATGCGCCTGGTTTCGCAATGTGTGTTTTTTTTCAGAGGTTCCAACGAGGCGATCGCCTCGTGGAACTCTAAGATGATGACGACGTCCAGGCTACTCGCCGACAAGGCTAGGCCGTACGTCCCCGCCGCCGCCGCCCCAGCCCTCGACGCCGCAGCGGAGAACCCCATTGCCGTCGTCGGCACGATGCTGGTAAGACCGCGGCCATGCAGCTAGCGATAGAAATACCTAAGCGCACGGTGGGTACAGCCAGCGGTGGTTACGCACCGCTTGTTGTGCGCGTTTGTTTTCGGCTGACTTCATGGCTAAGGAGTTCGGTGAACTGGCGCGGTATTCTGCCAGTGGTGGTTGTTGGATTTTTCAGTGCAGTTTTTTTTTCCATGTATGTGTTTGTTTTGCCCCCGAGTTTCCGAGGACAGAGGCGTACGAGTCTGTGTGCGCAGAACACCGTTAGACAGAGGCCCGTCGTTGTTGCCGCGTGGCGTCTACGAAGGTCCCAGTATGCCGTTATGTGGAAGCACGACAACAGGTGTGCGGTACTGTGCGGTAGGCGCCGCGGGTGCACGTGTCACCATTCACGGAGGTTGTCCGATTTCCGATTCCCCCCCCCCTCGTGGGCCCTCGCTCACCCTCACCCTGCCGCACGCGGTGCACCTCTCTGACACGCTCTCAAAACGCCGGTTGTGGAAACGTTGGTGTTGGTTTGTTTCGCAGGCCGGGATGCTGGTCATGATCCTGCTGTCAGTCTTCAAGACGCGCAGCCGCAGCAGCAGCAGCAGCAGCAGCAGCAGCAACCGCTCTCGCGCCAAGGCCTCGGCTCCTCCGACCGAAGCAGGCGGTGACAACGAGGGGAGCGGAGACGAAGGCGAAGGCCTGGGGGACGACAACCACATCAAAGAGGAAGAAGAACATGAGGATGAGGAGGAGGAGGAGGAGGAGGAGCAGGAGCAGGAGCAGGAGCAGGAGCAGGAGCAGGAGCAGGAGCAGGAGCAGGAGCAGGAGCAGGAGCAGGAGGGAGAGGGAGAGGAAAATGGAGAAGACGCGCCCGTCAACAACTGGGACAAAGTCGGGGCCGCGGCAGATGCACTGGAGGGCGAGGTCGAGGAGCCGGTAAGAGAGGGAGGGACGGAAGCCACAAATATGCCTGAGTGACGGGTTAAAAATGCGCGAGATCCTTCGTCTGTGGATACGCACAGCTGCAGGGTTGTGTGCGGTAGTTGGGAATCGTTTTTGGTAGCGCTTGGTCTACTTTTCTGGGACCTTGGCCTATTGGCAGGCCCGTTTTAATTTTCGGCTGCAATTTCGAGCGTGCCGCGTTGCTACGCGGACTGTATGTTTGCTGACGGGGAGAGCTCCACTGGAAACAAACGTTGTTACCACAGCGGTGGCAGCGGCGTGGGGAGGGGCTGGACACGCTCCGCAGGACCGTATGGAACGGGCGGTGCTAGGCCCAAGGGTTCCTCATTCTTCGGCTAAGGAAACGCGAAAAGGGGCGCGGGCCGTCCTGCAATGGGGGGGGGGGGG